ATCAAATAACAACCCCCTTTGCAATAACACCCACGGCAAGTACTCTAATTTCCAAATATTAGAACCCTGCACACACTTACTTACTTACTGCTGCAAAGGACCCCTAGAACATAGGTCAATATATTGCAATCACCACACAGTAAATAACACATTAACACTGGGCACCGTGACACTACGATTATATATATATATATAATTAAAATTACCGCTGACACATGTAGCCTACAGCTATCAAACGTTATTGGGAACACTAAGGAGAATCTCACACTCCTTAAATCACATGGGTGAGTGATTTATCGGTCACGCATGCCGATAAACACTCGAGAGTTACGTTACTCGACAGAGCGGGGGCGGTCTCTCTAGACGGCCTCGTCACTCACCAAACCTCACCAAAATTACGTTAATTAATACTGCAACCACAATATATATATTTATATAAATCACACTTGTCACGGCCCTGGGAACACTACAAGAAATTTAAGCCACACTGTGGCACACTCCACAATAATCATTGCCAGGAATCACTGGCGTTACACATACCTGAGCGCTCAGTGTTGGAATTCCACACCTGCAAGACCACACATGGAAATGATATCACTCCGTCCCACGGACGATCAAAAATGATTACCACAATGAAATAAAAGAATTTATTACATGGACATCCTCTCCGTCCTTGGCTAATCTATGTATATCCTGTTCCCCGCGTGTACCCACACACACACACACACACACACACACACTGTACGTCTGTGTACACCAGACCTTAAGTCCCTCTGGACTGACAAGATGACAACACAGGTGATTAATCTCCTCGCCCACAATTCACTCCACCTGAACAGGTGCTGCGTGACAATGTGACGGAACACTTGACCTCGAATTCAAGCTTTAGAGACTACTAATCACCGAAATACACACATAGGTACTTACTCATTCACACTGCCGGCTTTACACACCATTCCCATACATCAGGCACCCCGCTATAGGTGGCTGGCTCGCTCCGGGTGGCGTAGGCGGCGGTAGTTCCTGACCGTAGTACTTATACGGAAAATTGGCGCACACTCGAACCCCTCCCACTCAACACGGCTGAGTTCGCACCCTCGACTCCCCGGTGAAGTGAAGCGTTCATACCCAGGTGACACGCACAACGATAGCGTCTCACACCAACCTTGGGAAATTGCCTTAACACTGACACGAATTTCCCCGTTCCCATCGACTGCTACAGAGCACTAGCAAGTCTAATCATCACTGGTATGGGATCTACGAGTCTGTTGCTGCTCGTATGCACATTCCCCCACGATCCCAGATCACTGTACCTCTACCCCCTGCATACAATAATGTCTTAAACCCCTCCAAGCGACGACTTCGGCCGGATTCTGTGACGACCGATGTCGTAGGTGAAGCAGGATGCATCAGCAGTTGTAGTCCAGCCACCACGACGCCCTATACTCCAATTTGGCCGAATTGAGTACAGGATGCGTCTTGACAAGGTGGCGGCTGTGTTCAGAATGATGCTCACACCGGCTATTCCCGCGTCCTTCTCGAAATAACCAATGAGAGGAAGGCATACAGCGGCCTACCCCTCTCATCCAATCAGCGACGGTGTAGCATAGCCCCTAGGGCAGCTCCAAGATGGCCGACCAACATGGCGGCTCAAGATGTTTACTAAGATGGCGGCTGTCTCCATGACAACCACTCAAGTGGCCGGCGAGCGTGGGGCCCCACATGTCCACCCACGCCAGCTGCCTAGTTGTTTCCCGCGCAAAGCTGAGTCTGGCCCATGCCATACAATGAGATGATGCTATCAGCTCTAGCACTGTCCACAGACATGCCACCCCGGCCAGGGTAACATTTATGGACTGCTGATGACTGGGGCTCTCACATGAGCCCAAACACTAGATGTTTCGGTTGCTGGTACAAAACTTAAGTCCGCCCACTTAACAAGTGCACTTAACAAGTGTACTGGCTCCCACAGGCATAAGAGCACTATTGTAAGTGAGCTGGTGAACCACCTCCTCACAACCGGTTCACTCACGACGCCTTAAACATCATGACCAACTACCTCAGTATCAATCAGCACCAAAGACTTAAGACTGCACTCATCACTAAGGACGTTGAGAAGGCCTTTGACACTGACATGACGGCCTAAAATTCAAACTATACAACAACTTTAATCTTCCCCTTATCACTACCAAACTTCTTTCTAACTACTTAGACAATAAGACAATGAGAATTAAGTTCCTCCGACAACACTCTGACTACTTCAACTTACATGCCGGTGTTCCCCAAGGCTCTGTTCTTGCCCCGACACTCTACATCCTATACGTCAACGACATTCCTGACCCTGTTCATCACACTTCATTAACAATATGCTACGCTGATGATATCTCTCACCTTGTCAACAGCAACACCATTGATACACTAACAAACAGAGCACAAACAGAACTTGATATTGTCACAGAATGGGAGTATAACTGGCGTATTAAAACCAACTCCAACAAATCCAAATTCACCTACTTTTTCTGTAAAAGAACTATTCGCCCTATTCCTCTTAAACTCTATTCATACACTCCAAATCCTACTTATATCTCTGTACCTCCTTCCACCACAGTTCTTGGACTCACACTTGATCGACAACTACTCTTTCACACACACATTACACAGAAACATACAGTAGCTCTCCAAGCCATGAAAAAACTGTAGACTTAGATTTGCAAAACCTGACACAAAAATTCACCTTTACAGAGCACTTATTAGACCTCTCCTAACATATGCTCCACTAGCTCTTTCTTTAGCTGCACGTACTAACAAACTAAATCTTCAGAGAATACAGAATAGAGCACTTAGATGGGTACTCAACACCCGATGGCAAGAGTTTATTACCAGTCAAAGTCTCCATGAAAGTACCAACATTCCTGCCCTAAATGTCTACTGGAAAACTTTATTAGACAAACAACTTGATAGACTACTCACTTATCATGAACAACACATTGATTTTCTCCTACACACTCTCAGACAACCACGATACACTCATGACCTCTTCTCTACCATCCATGATCCTCCTCCTAACTCTGTATTTCGATAAACTTTAACTCTCAACACCCAACATCCACTATCAATACATATTCAGCTCTCAACACCCAGCACAAACCATCCGTAAAAGTTCAGCCCTGACGCTCTTGAGCCAATCACTGTGATGTTGTGAGTGTTGTGATGTCACTGTTGTTGTCACTGAAACACCCGACTGAGTCCCTGCCTCGACTGTCGCAACCAAACGACACGCAGCTGGGTTTAGCCCTGGCACTTTTTCTCCTACAAATCTACTTCCTCTCACCCCTCTTATCTTCTTCTGTCCCCACTTCCAAGCTCGCCCTTCGGGGTGTCTTATCCTGTATATATTTGGATTCGGATTCGGAGACTGGTCAAGATGATGACAGATCACAATCACGAACACAAGATCACAGATCACGATCACACACACGATCTCTCCCGCACCTAGCAATGCAGGGTGGGTAAATAATTGGCAGGAGACTTGCGTCTCTCTAGATGGGCAGACCCCTTTAACTTGGTGTTTTATGCCGGGTAGAGACGGGAGGCCATCTCCAGTGACGTGTAGTCTTAGAGAGAGACCCATCGGCCAGCAGGAAGTTCACCATGCGCCACAAACGCTACAAGATCTGGGGAACGCCCCTTGACGAGCACCTGTGCTCCAAAACATCCCTCCTGAAGCTATTTAAAGAAGTTGCAGGAGTGCCACCTAACGACATCAGACAGGAAGGCACGGACATCCTCTTCTACTTTATAGTGATGAGGAAGTCGACAAAGTTCTGTTCTACACCCCCCACTTTTCTCAGACATCACCTTCGTCTCAATTTCCCACGTCAGTACCGGGCTGCACGCTCTGTCATTGTTCACGATATCAGCCAATGGATCGCTGATCAAGATCTAGCAGATGAAAGCGCATTCATGACCGACTTCACTGAATCCAACCCGGGCTTACAGCTCCATGAAGCTAACTTCTTCAACAGATATCGCTCCTTGAAGCTGACCTTTCAGACCATCGATTCGGTTACTCTGGCTACCAGAAATGGTGTCTACAGCTTCGGTATCCACATTCCTCCATTCCGCGTGAAGATGGAGAGTTTCCACATCGTCAACCAGTGCCTCCGGTGCTAGGAGTACATCCACTCCACCAGCAAATGTAACCAGCGTGTTCAAAAGTGTAGCCTCTGCTCAGCTGATCACCATTATTCTATTTGCACGTCAGAGACACTATGCTGTTTGCTTTGCAAAGGCGATCATCCTGCAATCTCCATTCGTTGTCCTCATAGACAAGAAGTCATCCAGAACATGGAAAAAAAACAAATCTTTACCGGAACCAGCACCCCTGGTGCAACCAACCAATCAGCGACCACCTCAACTTCTGGTTTCAACGTCCAAACCGCCATTTTTCCCTTTGATTCTGGGAGGACGACCCACTGCTACTGCTGCTGCCACTACCAGCTAATTGGGGCCCAGCTCCCAACTAACCAGCCACACATCGAGCCAGCCATTGCCGCCTCCACCCCATCCCGGCCAACCACTGTCTAGCACAGTAAAAGCTTTGACATCGACGGCCAGAATGACTGCTGGCACTAACCCCTGAGAATCTGCGAGACTCCTGAAAATTCTCTACAAAGCGAACGGTCTCCCTACCTTCATTGTTCCTGAAGAAGTCTACAACACTCCGGGTTCAACTCCAGCAACTGACCCTGTAGAGGATGCCGACTCTACATCCGACGACGATTTCGCCACTACGATGCAGACTTCAGATCCTGTTCTAGTACCTTCAGCTCACAAGACTCTGCCTCCTGAGACCTCCCACTTCTACAACAGTTCCAGTTACTAACCGTGACACCACTGTGAACGCGGCCACGCTTTTAGACTTACTGTCAGCTCCTTTTGCACACGTTTCTCCGGCTGTTGCTGACCCTTTACCCGCCCCAGTAGTGAATTCAGCTGCAATGGACTTTTGGTGTGACCCTGTAGAGGGTCTATTCTATGAAGTCCTTTCTGCTGCAGTACCTACTGCTGCTACTCAACCTTCAAGAATTCAACCTTCAAGAACTCAACCTTCAAGAACTCAACCTTCAAGAACTCAACCTTCAAGAACTCAACCTTCAAGAACTCAACCTTCAAGAACTCAACCTTCAAGAACTCAACCTTCAAGAACTCAACCTTCAAGAACTCAACCTTCAAGAACTCAACCTTCAAGAACACTACCTTCGCGATCTACCACCTCTGCTCTTCACTCATCTGATGAATCGGATGAGGACGTGTCTGTGGGAACATCATCTCCTCCTTCACGGAAATGTCACTACTCAGCTGCCGATGTCCTTCACGACACCGCACCAACAACCCCCAACGACAGCACCTCAAGGCCAGCACCAAGTCAGACCACCAAGACCAAGACCGACAAGTCCAAGAAGATGACCAAAGATCAGAGTTTGCTGAAATCGTCAACAAAAAAGAAGACCAATAACGAAATTTAACATCAACTTCTGTACACACACACACACACAGAGATCACACTAACGTTATGCATCAAATGAACAAATCCACAAGGGCAGTGACGAGGATTCGAACCTGCGTCTGGGAGCATCCCAGACACTGCCTTAATCGACTGAGCTACGACAGGGAACAAATCCTTGTGCGTTCATCAACTTCTGTAATCAACCCTCAACTGCCAGCTGCTTTAAAGAACACGGCGACGAGAAGCCCTGCCTCCAGCAAGACTCATCAGCGAGCAACAAGGAACACTCCACTCTACCACCAAACCTCAGCATCAGCTGCAAGTCTTACCCACGATGGTTGGGCCACCGATCTTTCATATCACCTCTTCTCCTCGTCTCCAGATCCTCACCCAAGATTTCTGCATCCTCCCCCCAGCCTTCTCTCCCCGACTTACCAGTCCTATGGTCTTGAAATTGGTGTTTCGATACATTCGTTTATGACTAAATTTTTAAAGAAATCAGTCGAATAAATTTCGACTGCTTCACTAGATGCATTCATGTTCATTTTTCATCAATGACCGTCATGTGCGTCACTTTCTAAGTGGGTTCAACACCGTAGATTCTGGCCAGTAACCGGTCGGGTGACCTCATGGACAACCTCCACCTTGGCTAGGGTGATGTCGATTAACCTAACATGCTTGACAATGGCATCAAAATGGGAAAAATACAGTTATTGCTACAATTAATAGTTCTATGGAAGACATATCCCAACCATTCACTTGTGATAATACTACCATGACTACCAGAGCTACCATTGTCACCATTAATTCCCCTACCACAGCTACCATTGTCACTATACTACCCCTACCACTACTACCAGAGCTACCATTGTCACTGTCACTAACCTCTGACCTCACTTTCATTGCCACTGTTTCTACCACTACAATGAATACCATTTTTTGCAGCACACATGGAATTCAATACAGATATGTGTCAGTAATGGTAGAGGGAGTAATAGTGACTGTGGTAGGTGTGGTAGTGATGGTGAGGGGAGTAATTATAGGTATTGTGACATGAAACAGATTCGCCGCTTTGCTGGGCAGGTGTAATGTGGCTCTCACTCATATAAAATAAAATAGAAAGTGCTGCTTTGGGCTCTTGATACTGGTAATAACTCAAAAGGGCCACCACTTACGGGCTATTTATGCCCGTGCCTCATCTTCATCTTAACACATTCATAAGGGAGACATCTCCCGTCACGCAGGGTGCATTCGCACCTCCACAGATCTCCAGTATCAGCTCTTGATACTGGTAATGGCTTAAAAGGGCCACCACTTACGGGCTATTCATGCCCGTGCCACCTTTTGGGTGGCTTAATCTTCATCAATCAATCAGCTGCTTTGGCACTTGTTGTGTGTAAGTTGCAGGAAGAGACAAAAAACAACAGATGAACAATAAATCAAGTTTGCTATAATAATAATAAACAGAAATGGTACCTGAATATACTTGGCAAATATGCAAAATAATCAGACATAAAGGAATATAAACTAATTTACATAACTAATATACTGTTGTTCTGAAGACATCCAATATACCACCACAACATGCGGCAGACGACATAGGCTGGTTAGCAAACTATAAATATCAAATGCAATATCTTTCATAGACAACTGGGAACACTTCTATGGAAGAAATGGAATGTATGCTCGTGATGGGGTGCATCTATCGAGAGCTGGGGTTGTTGCTGTTGCGAACTCGTTGGAAGAAGTGGTTAGAGGTGTTTGTTTGGGTTTAAACTGTTAGTAGATAGAGGTATGGGAATTGATTTGGAGGAAGGAGATAATAAAAGTACGTGTTTGTGGGAGAAAGGAATTGGCAAAATGATCAGGGAAAGAGAAGGGCCTCAAAATAACAATTCACTTAGGGTATATTACACTAACAGTAGAAGTCTAAAAAAAAAATTAACGAATTAAATGCTCTTGTCTGCACAGAAAAAATAGATATTATTGCACTTACCGAAACGTGGATGAATGTAGAAAATAGAGAACTATTAGCTGAATATCAAATAAATGGATTTAAACTATTTCACACAGATAGATATATTAGACGAGGAGGGGGAGTAGCCATATATGTCAGGGACAATTTGAAATGTAGTCTCAAAGAGGTAATCAAAACTGAGCCACACACAGAAACTATTTGGATAGAATTATACGAAAAAGCAAATAATATTATAATAGGAGTAATATATAGGCCACCAAATTTAGACAGAATGGAAGCAAAGCATCTATGGGATGAAATATCTAGGGCATCTAGATCTAACAGTATTTACGTCATGGGTGACTTTAATTTTAGTGGAATAAACTGGTTGAACAAAACAGGGAATAGTGAAGCAGAAGATTTTCTAGAATTAATTGACGATTGCTTTCTTACGCAACACATTAAGGAACCAACACGGGAAAATAATATTTTAGATTTAGTGTTAACTAACAGGGAAACACAAATTAATGACATCGAAATAGGGAGTGAGCTAGGTAACAGTGGTCACAAAGAAATCAGATTTAGCATAGAATGGAATAGACCTGTAGGAGAAAATTCTGTTAAAGTGCCAGATTTTCGAAAAGCTGATTTTAATAGCCTTAGAAATTTTTTGGGTCAAATTGATTGGAAAGTCTTGGGTATGGGGTGTGGGCCGGTCTTGGAGCGAGACATGAACCCAGCGATAGGTGACGTAAATGGGGATTTCGATGTGGATTCAATATATAACTTATTTAAGAATATTCTAAACAAAGCACAGGAACGTAGTATACCATACAAATTGAATAGATCGAATACCAATGACCCAAAGTGGATAACAAAGAATTTGAAGAACCTTATAGGTAAAAAGAGAGCTTGGTACAAAATGATTAAAAATGGGGAGGTCACTTTAGAACAGGAATTCGTACAACTGGTTAGAAATGTTAAAAAAGAGATAAGGAAAGCAAAAAGAAACTATGAAGTTCGCATAGCAGGGCAAGCAAAGACAAATCCTAAAGGGTTTTTTCAGTTATATCGTACTAAGACTAGGGAAAGGATAGGTCCCTTAAAAACTGAGACAGGTCAAATAACAGATAGTGATGAAGAGATGAGTAGTATTTTTAATAAATATTTTGCATCTGTATTTACTAAAGAGGAACTTAACAATATGCCTTCAGCCGAACAAGTCTATGTGGGTGGGGACGAGGACAGGTTGACGAGTTTAACAGTTACCAGGGAGGATGTTCTTAAACAAATAGTAAAACTCAAACCAAACAAATCCCCAGGGCCAGATGAAGTGTTTGCCAGGGTGCTTAAAGAATGCAAAGAGGAGCTTTGTGACCCACTGTCAACCATATTTAATAAATCAATAGAGTCCGGCAGAGTGCCAGAGTTTTGGAAAGTTGCTAATGTGATACCAGTTTTTAAGAAAGGAGATAGATCACTTGCGTCTAACTATCGACCAATTAGCCTAACGTCTATTGTGGGAAAGTTACTCGAATCTATAATAGCAAATAAAATTCGTCTTCATCTTGAAAAACATAAATTAATAATTGAGTCGCAACATGGTTTTATAAATGGCCGTTCATGTTTAACAAATTTGTTATCTTTTTATTCTAGCATTGTTGAGGCAGTTGATAGTGGTAAGGATTGCGATGTTGTGTACCTTGACTTTAGCAAAGCTTTTGATACAGTGCCACATGAAAGACTGATTAAAAAGATAGAGTCTCATGGTATTGGGGGAGCTATATTAAGCTGGATTAGGGCATGGCTATACCAAAGGAAACAGAGAGTTAGTATAAATGGAGTCAAGTCAGAGTGGGAAAATGTTGTAAGTGGGGTGCCTCAGGGCTCTGTCCTGGGACCTCTGTTGTTTATAATATATATAAATGATTTAGATTCAGGTTTGAGTAGCAACATTTGCAAATTTGCCGATGATTCGAAAATCGGTAGGGAAATTAATTCGGAGGAGGACTCACTATCACTTCAAGTTGATCTAGATAGGGTTTTGAAATGGTCGAAGGATTGGCAGATGCAGTTTAATGCTGATAAATGTAAAGTTCTAAGATTAGGTAATGATAATAGGGTTACAAGATACGAGCTAGATGGTGTTGAGATTGCGAAGTCGAATTGCGAAAGGGATCTGGGAGTTATGATTAGCAAGAATTTAAAACAAAAGGATCAATGCATAAATGTTCGTAATAAGGCAAATCGGACACTTGGATTTATTAATCGCAGCGTTAGTAACAAGACACCTGGTGTGGTTCTCAAGCTATATCTTGCTCTAGTTAGGCCCCATTTAGATTATGCAGTTCAGTTTTGGTCGCCATATTATAGAATGGATATAAATTCACTTGAACGTGTCCAGCGTAGGATGACTAAGTTAATTCCCCAAATTAGAAATCTTTCATATGAAGAAAGATTAACAAAGCTTAAGTTGCATTCACTGGAAAGGCGAAGAGTTAGGGGTGACATGATAGAGGTTTACAAGTGGGTGAATGGACATAACAAAGAGGATATTAATAGGGTATTAAAAGTATCAACACAAGACAGAACACGAAACAATGGGTATAAATTGGATAAGTTTAGATTTAGGAAAGACTTGGGTAAATACTGGTTCAGTAACAGGGTTGCTGATTAGGAACTGATTCAGAGGTATAAAACAGCCATAGAATTAGTTAGGAGCAAGGGAGGAATTCCGATCATATGTGGCATTCTTCCAAGAAAGGGAGTGGGAAATGAATGGATATCGAGGGCACTTGGTGTCAATTGCCGGCTGGAAAGATATTGCAAATCAAATGCAATATCTTTCATAGACAACTGGGAACACTTCTATGGAAAAAATGAAATGTATGCTCGTGATGGGGTGCATCTATCGAGAGCTGGGGTTGTTAACATAAGAAGAAGAACATAAGAACAAAGGTAACTGCAGAAGGCATATTGGCCCATACGAGGCAGCTCCTATTCTATAACCACCCAATCCCACTCATATACTTGTCCAACCCGTGCTTGAAACAATCGAGGGA